CCCCCCGAGATAGTTTTGATCACGTTCTTATTCTGTGGTTTAGAAGCTGAAACAATTACAGGGTGCCTGTAATACATCTATGATCTCTGTGATTCAAACTAGATAATCTATTATTCCTCACTGTTTGTGATTATTTTTATTTTTTGAATCAGCTGTATTTGTGGACTTTGTTTTCCAGGCCTGGGGGAGTCCTGGGGTCATGTGAGTCGCAGCAGCTCTCTGGATGGAGTCAGCCAGGAGTTAGGCTCCCACCTCTTACAGGTAATTATTAGGCCTGAGCACTGCGGGCCATGTGAAGGCCTCTAGAAATCAGTTTCTTCTTTCTCTTCTCATTATTATTATTAAGAAAGACGCAAAATTTTAGGATCACCTTAAATGTAATTAAGAATTTTACCTTTTTGATCTTGTGTTGCTCTGCCCACTTTCTGCTTACACCAGTTTAGTTTCCAGCTCAGCACTGATGCAATTAACAAACATACTAAATTATAAAGAAAAATGAACCAAATTTCAGAACCTTTAGCAACAATCACCTGGTATTAAGACCCTACGTTTATTAGTCATCAGTCAGCAGGAGGATCAGTGATGATGTCTAGATCACCCACAGACATTTTAATTACACTGCTGTCTCACCATGTTGCATAAAAAAAAACTTCATAAAAATTGAAATCTGGAAGTGAACCCCATTCAGTCCTGTTCTGTAAACAGACACCAATCCTCACAGATTAAAACTTTGTCACAAAGATTATGAGATTTTATTCCCAGAAACAGCTGAAAATGCTTTGTCTTCTTTTCCCAGCAGGGGGCACTTTAAGTAACAAGCAGGACCTTTACACCCAGTAGTTTTAAAGCAATACAACAAGCGGGGTGTAGCAACATGTATAGTTTGTTGGAAACAGTAATGGTCATAAAGATATTCATTGTGAAGATTAAAGCTGGACAGTTTTTTAAAGGCTCAGTAAAAATAATTAAATGCTACATGCAACATGTTTTCAGAGCCACAACTGTTTGAAACATGAATCATTATTATTCTGTTTCCAGCAGCTAAAATCTTAACTAAATAAAGTGTCTCAGGTGTTAACACATTGTATAACAGTAAATGTGACCCATGCTGTCAACATGTGTTGAATTTGGCACGGGCTTCAGTGCTAAAAATGTTAAAACTTTTTATTTTTTTGCTGTTACTGACATTGCATAAATATTGGTTCATTAAGACACCCATTTAATCCAAAATCTAAAATAACATATATTCCCAATCTACCTTTAAAGGAGGGTTATTATACAAAATCAACTTTTTGAGCTGCATATCATGTTACAGTGTCATTCCTTCATCAAACACATCCCCAGAGTGTTACTTTGACTCATTCATCATGTTTGAGAAATCCTTAAATCTCCTGAGGTAGCCATGTGGAGCTACCTAAGCGCTTGTTGGTACAAAGCTCCGCCTATTTGTACAAAGCTCCACCCTGGAGCTCAGTCCACAGCTGAGCTCCTGCCCCCCAGAGAACCCTCCCCCCAAAATTTTTGCGATGATGTGCTGAAGTGGGAGTGTCAGAAACAGTAGGATGTTCTTAAAGAGACAGGCACTTTTTAAGATGTTTTGATAAACTATGATTCAAAGTCAAATTTATTTTTGATATAACCCATTTTCATAACAACTAAAGGTAATAATTTACCTGATTCTGCTATAGAATAGTTCATAACATTATGCCAGACTAATAAAAATTGACTTTCAAAACAAAGTGCATTATTATTATTATTATTATTATTATTATTATTATTATTATTATTATTATTATAAAGGTTAGTCAGTTGAGAATCATTTCTCGTTTGACGACCTTACACAGCCAGTGTCATTTTCTTTTAAAGCTGCAGGCTAAATTCCTTAAAACAGTTTGAAATAACGCTTGGTTTATAATCGCATTAATCTTATCTTAATTTTTTCTGTTCTGATTCCTTTTGCAAAACACAAAATATGAAATCCAGTAATTTTTTTCAATGTCTTAAAAATCAAAATGCAGTCCGTTGCGAGAGTGAAAATGTTCTCGTTTTTTTTTTACCTTTGACATATAAACCTAAAAAACATCCAAGTTAAACATAAAGTAAAGCAAAAAATAAATTTATAATGTCCTGATGCATCTCAGTAATCCAGGTAAAAAATCAAAAAGAAAAAAATTGTGTAGGTAGGTCTTCTGGATGGGTTCTTCTCTAATGAAACGTTTCGCCTCTGGACGAAACGTTTCATTAGAGAAGAACCCGTCCAGAAGACCTATACAATTATTTTCTTTTTGATAATTTTATAATAACTCGATGATATGAGTTCAAAATATTTTTGCATCAGATTTCTCTCAAAAACAGATCCAGTTCTGATTTTCTTTATTCTAAAGTGAACTTCAGTTTAAAATTGCTGCCAACAAGCTGAGGAGGGAACAGGGAGGAGGGTGGACAACAAAATAAGGTGCACAGCCAAGAGTTAACATTTACAAGATGTGCGGATGAAAATAAGCTGTGATTTTTTTAAAAAACTGCAACACAACTTGCTGGTCACTTGGTTGTAAACACTCAGTTGCTGCAGCTGAAAATTCATCTATTTTCTCACAGTTTTCAGTCTTAAACCATTAGCCCAGAGAGACGCTCTCATAAACGTGTCACCTGCTGATGGGTTTTTGTGCGTGGTTGTTGTAGCTCTGTGTGTTGCTGTAGTTTGGATATTGTTTTGCTGTAAACCTTGTGCGTAGTGTCAAAGGTTGGAACGCCAGCTGTAGCCTTAGCTCGCCTAACCTAACAGGTGGGACACAGGAGCCTGCAGCAAACTTGTTTTATTGCAAACATTAAATATATAAAAAAAAATTGGACTATTGGGAAAATTCCACTTCATAAGAAGTTCACAAAATATTTTATTTTTAACATTTTAACTGCAATTTTAGACACTTTTTTTGTGGCAATCATAGCGTTTGCATATTTTCCACTTTTTCCCCTGCAGTGTTTGATTGTTCAGGTTGTTTATTTAATTAACCAGGAAAACCCTTAAGAGTAGCAGTCTTGAATTACAGAGCTCTTCATTAGAGCTTTGACCTTTTCCAAACACACAAAAGAATTAAGCTTGAGTTTGGTTTCAAGGGTATTCCATGACCAAAGTGCAACATCTAAAGGAGCTGGAGAACAACAACCCATTACAAGTTTTGAAAACAAAGATGTACTGGTTCTGGTTTTATGGGCTGATACCTGTATTTTGTACAGCTGCTGATAGTTGGAAAAAATGGGAAGGGGGGGGGGGTAAGCCTTTTCTTAACTGTTGAACTGATGTGGAACAGACAAATTGCAGTGTAAATACAAAGAAAACAGGAAAGTTCAGTAAATCACAGTTAAAGCATTGCAATGTCTTTTAACTCCAAACTATCATGAATCATTTTACCAAAGTAAATAATTCAGTAAATAAATAGGCAGCCTACCCAAAGTTACACCCTTGTATTAAAGCAAGAGGTGGGGTACACCTTGGACAGGTCACAAATTCATCACAGGGCCACATAAAGACGAACAAGACAAACACTTTCCAGTGACCGTTTAGAGCTCCTCAACATGTTTTGGGTCTGAGACAGGAAAACAGAGTACCAGAGAAACACCACACAGAAAGGCCCCGGCTGTATAACAACATTTTTCAGAAGAATCATTAGAGTGCTGAACTCCCTCTCCCTGCTCATCCTAAATTATTTGTCTTCACATTTGTAGACACAGGAATTCTTAGAAAGAAAAAAAATTAGTAGCTGTTTTCCCATTATANGGATAAAGCACCATTTTTAATATCTTGTTAATTTTTTAACTTAATGAAATCCTACAATTACACATCAAAACATGTTGCTCTATCAGAAATGGTGTACTATGACCTTTGCCACATGTAGACAAAATTTGGCGATAAATAATAAATAAAAACATTACTTGGGCATCAAGAGAATTTTGGTGAAACAGAAGAGAAAACCCACGCTTGGAGCTCTCTTACAGAGCTTTATTTCACAGTGGAAACATTAAGAATGACTAAAATGTCTGAACTGATATATTTTGCACAATCACATTCTAAGTCACACATTGACTTTATTTGAGGTTTAAATAACATTATGTGTTTCTGTCTGCCTCCCATTTCTTTAACATTTGTTTTAATCTTGGGTTTTTGTTTTACATTTCTTCTACATTTCATAGATGAAATTGTTGGTCCTTTTTAAATTAGATTATTACCAATAAACAAGTTACGAGTTATGTTGTAATTTTAGGCTGCAAATTATTGTACTGGCACACTTCAGCAGCTACACAGAAATGTTTAGTTATTGTTATGAGTGGAAGTATTAATATTATTATTACTCACTTCAGTTAGATAGACTGTGAGTGCATGTGTGTGCATGTCTGTGTATGTGTGTGTGTGTGTGGGGGGGGGGGGTGTTGGGAGCTGTCACCATCTGCCTCCTGTGCCTTCACTCTGGGTGCTTTAAGGGTGAAATGAGTAGAAGACATTCATGGTCACGTACAAAGTCCGTCTGTCCTGCTGCCCTGCTCTCAGCAACACAAAGGAGCTCTTCTGCTGGCGTACATGCTGCTTAGAGAGAAGGAGAGTTTGTCTTAAACTAGCCAGACAGATGTGACAATCACAGTCAAATCATAATCTTAGAAAGGTTTAACCAGTTGGACTGGGTGTCAACAAGTACTGACCAAAAAAGGATCACTCAATCAGTCAGAGATAACACAATTAACCAGAAGCAATTAACTGTGCACAAAAGCAATTTTTTAAATAAGTATATTTCCTTTTAGGTGCATATTTTTAATTTAAAATATCCTGTAAAATCAAATTTTACATTTGAGGCCATGTAAAACACATGTTACATATTTATCCCTGCTTTCAAAAACAAGTGATTAAACTGGGAACACATTAGAAACTGGCAGTCCTTCAGACATTGAGTTGTAGTGATTTTTTTCCCTCTAATTAATGCTAATAAATTCAAGTAAAAATACATTGGTATCATTTCTGGCACATGTACTAGCACAAAAGGGATAGTATTTAATTTATCATTTACAAGCTTATTTTTTTTGCCTTTTAAATATAAAATAAATGAATGAGTGTCTGTCTCCTCCCTTCAACTGGATATTTTCTCTTGGAGGTAGTGCTTCTTCATTATGAAAAATGTTATTGTCATTGTTTTGATAAATATTGCAAATTTAATCATATACCATATATCATACAGTTCTAAAACATAAAATTTATTGTACCTAAAAAAGTAAATTGTGTTAAATGTTAAATTGTCTTTGATACCTTGTTGAACTTTCACTTAAAATAACTCAAGTTTACTCATTTAAATGTAGCCTACCATGTAAATCACAACACAAATAAACACAAACACAATTAGCATCTTAATGTAATTCCACATTATTTTAGATCCTATGAAATATGTTTTTTAAAACTGCTTTTATTTTTCTAAATTACATCTTTATAACGTACCAACACTTTTTCACCCAAAAATGACTTATCACATAGTGGACTATAAAATCTTTATATTTCTTTAGAGAATATCCCAAATTTCATAAATTTGGACAGAGCATGCAGTTTTTAATAAGGTGTTAAAAAATGATAGTACAGTAACCTATATCCTTTTTTTTTTGGTAAAATAAGATTCCTATTACCAGTTTTCCTCCAACTGATTACAAGTATGAATTTTTCAGTTAAATTTGTGGAGTACTTACTCATTTACAACCAACACATTATATAATGACTTTAAAATAC